ACACCCCTTTCAAGAGATTCTTTGATAAGAAGGTCCATCATGATTTCATTGTAGTTATTTGACCTTTTCTTCACAAATTTGTCATATTATTCGTCCGGAGTCCAGAATCGGACCGGGGACTTGGTGCATTCCCAGACGTTTCACTGGCATCGTAGTCGGCATCGTGAGTGAACCTTGCCAGTCTTAGCAACACACAACAACTCGTCAAAGAGACAAGTGAAGTCAAACTTCTGACCAATTGTTGTGTTATCTCTCCTTCTGTCCTGGGTTATTAATCTATCTCATATCCTCGTATCACCCCTTCACTATCACAATTTCTTAAATGCTTCTTTAAACGTGATTCTGATGGGCCCTTTTGAGCGAATTTCATGATACGATACCGGCGAAACGTCTGGAAATGCACCAAGTCCACGGTCCGATTCTACAGATTATCATGCATACTATGGGCTCTGGCCTAGGTGCTTTCATCTAGGTCTTACTGCCAATGAGACCAAGTTGCTAAAACTAGATCAAACAACGACTATACAACTAAAGAAGACCGCGACCATATTGGTCTTCATATGTTCAATTATTAGTTCACTTCAATTTAAAGTATCGTCTAAAAAAGCCACGCAACTCGAATCCATGTGAATACAAAGTGTCTTAAAAACTTCCCCATACAGGCATATACAATTAATTGAAGGTATGAAGATCAAGATACTGTCTCCATTATTTTTCCCGTGGTTTCCTTCAGCTATATATACGTAGTTCGACCACGTTTTCGCGAATCGATCGGTCTGTCAAGGCGAACTAAGTGAACTCATCTTGTCTGGAGTCAGTTTCCATCTCAGGAAAAACATGTGAAGTAAATGCTTCTATCAACTTTTGGCTGATATATTATCAGGAAAGAAGCAAAGCAATTACAACTATTCAGAAAATTTTTATATGAGTAGCTTTCGTGATTACCAGTAAATCTCAGATAGGAATTGTATTAATTTTATTTCGTTTTAAGGTGATGAAGGACTGGTAGTTAAATTTTCCTACGATCATATGAGCAAGCCTCGCATTTCAAGTAAAATCCAAATAGTCTTGTGACCCAAAAGGCATTCCCATCCAGAGCGGACTGCAGTTTCTACCTCATCCAGGTTTCTTCTGCACTCCCAACAGGACGGGGACCCTACTGGTACAGCATATAATCTCGACACGTTGACAACTTCTCCACACTTCCATGAGAGCCCTTGGGCTACTGGACACTTGTAGAAAGTTTAAGGAAAACCAGGCCTTTCCAAAATCACATTTCTGTAGTATCACATTTCTGACTATCGATGAAGCAGAGTTGAAATTGCTCCTCCAATCGGTTACATTGTAAATTTTGTTGTATAAGTAGATTTCGTGACAACCAGTCGATCTTGAATGATAACCGTATTCACCATAATTTGATTAAAGTGATGGTAAACTGATAGTTGAATTTTCCTACAAAGATATGTGTAATTCAATGTAAACATGAGATCTACTCATATCATTAGTGGAAAATTATACTACCAGTTCCTTATAACTTTAATAAATGGTGTATACAGTTATTATTCAGTATATACTGGTTGTCTTGAAATCGACTTATAAAAAAAAAGTGATGTAGTTGAGTGCAGGAGCAATCGCAACTCTACTTCACCGACAGTCCCACTACGGAACTGTGATTTGGGATAGGCCTGGCTTTCCTTAACATTTTTACCCTTGACTTATAACTCAAGGGCCCTCATAACAATGTGAAGAAGTGGCTAATGTAGCCGGACTACACGCGTCACCATCCGGGCTCGAGTCCCGCTGGGGATGCTGATTGGACCTAGGTGAACTCGAAACTATCGTCCTCCCTCGATGAGAATAGCTTCTGGGTAGCAAGACTATTTGAATTTACCTTGAAACGTTGTGGGAAAATTTAACTGCATTCATCACCTAACACTAAATAGGGTGAGTACCACTCTTATCTACTATTTATTGGTAATCTAGAGAGCAAGTTATAAAAAGGACATTATTGCTGAATAGCTGAAGTTAGTTTACCTTTTCCCTGAGAATGTATCAGCAGAAAAATTGTCAAAGGATATACTCCAATTGTCTCTTCTACGAGTCATAGTTTGGTGCTACAAATTTTTAGGTTCACTGCCTATGCTAACTATGCTGCTGGCAAAAGGACTTGGAATGTATTACGTTCACTGTCTGACCCTAGAAATTATGATGAGTATTAAAAGAAAGGACTCCGGACAACGTGCGTAAACTAAGTATGGTCATTTATATACATGTAAATTTGGAAGTTCAAGCAAGTCTACATACATTATTCACCAATTTTGACATTCGGTGTTATGGTACTTTTTAAACTGATCTAGGTCTCACTGCGAATCTATTTAGATTTCGCTGAGGCAAAGCTTTAGAAAATAGGAAGTGTTATCCCTCTTTAACACGATCGTATAGACTTAATGAGTAGGTTATATATGAATCGGATACTTTTCTACATGACGACTTAGTTAGCTTGAATTTGATACCTTGC